AGGGACTGCTCGGGTGTACGAGTATGTTCCAAAATTTCGTATTCAACTGTGCGAAATGCTCAACAATAAAACGCCATTGAACGTCGTCCTACTGGCGACTTGTGCCCCCCACCCACTCGCACACACACTAACACTAACGGGTGGCTCTACTACCCGCTAGTCGTTATGGCCCCCGGAACTTCCGGTTTGGCGATATGCGCCAACTTTTAGACAATCATTCTCGTTGTTCCCTTTCTTGGCCAAAGGCAAAAGCTTAGCGAATTTTTGCCCCAGCTATAAATATTCCGCGATATCTACAAATACATTCATATACTCGTACATATTCGGTACTGTGCATATATATATATAGTATTTTCCTCTGTGCGTGTATGCGAACCACAAAAGTTGACTGGACAACAATTTTTTTGCCTGAATTGATTTAATTTATGAGCTGCCCTAATTTATTTCCGCCAAGCAAAACGGCAAAAGAATAGCGATGAAAAAAGTAAATTGGCTTAGGCGATTTAATTTAATTTACTACTTAACGAGAATATATGTACGAGTATTTCTATGAATTTAATTGCCATTAAACTATTTAAAGATGTTTACTATACTACTATAGTTCGAAGGAGCCAAACAGGGCCCTTTTTAATCTCTCTGCTCAATAAATACTTTTGTAGTACTATCGTTTCTCAATCCTTTTTTTCACACGGAATGTAACTATCTGAAACCCAGCTTCTTTCTAATCCGTTTTTCATTGTAGATAAGCATCATCATCATACATATGTATGCACATGTATTATAGTAATAAGTATTTAAAACTTTCTAGCATATAATCTTTAACTGGCATTCAACGAATGTGTATTTCCCTCCTCATTCTCTTTTCCAGCAGAATGTTTTAAGCCCCCCACCCCAACCTCTACCCTGCCACCACATTCAAAAACCAATTACATATTTTTTGGTGTATGTTTTGCCCAAAAGTTAATTCTTTCTCTGTGGAAAATCAACTACAAAACTAACTTTTCTCTGGTTGTTCAACATTTGTTTTTGCTCGGCTTATTTTTATGTTCACAACGAACATGGGAATGGGGAGCATCTACAAGAACATGAAGAAAAACAAGAACAATGAGGGCCGAGACCGAATAATAAAAAATTGAGCAAAAACAAAAGCCCGACAACAATTACAACAAAAGCAATGGCAATGGCAATAAAAAGAAACATTCAACTCTGGCAACTCATACAACGCGAAATGGTGGAGGCCGGATGGGGTCCCCAGGACAAACTGCGGGGTATATTCCCGAAAAGTATGCAATATTTGCCTCCTACTCTTCCTCCAGCTGGTGGTCCTTCAAGTTTGGTTGTTTGCTGCTGACTTGGCGGCTCGGGCCAGTAATTAATGCTTATAAGAGCCACTCGTTCGCTATGTGGGTGTGTGCGTGTGGTTGTACGGGGTGCTGAGCGGTGCCAGAGTTGCCACACTTTCAGTAAGCAGTTTTTTTTTTGGTAAAGGATTGTTCAAGTTAATTGCATGTTTTCAGCATACGTTTCTCTGTAACTGTGGATTTTCTCTCTCATTGGGAAAATTTGGGAAATTTTACCAGAAATCTTTGCTTGCAAAGCAGAGTTGCCCCATTTTTCTTTTTTGGAAAGTACAGGCCTTAATTGCATGATTCCTGCATATTTCAGGCGGCCAATGTAGAATGGCTTACTCTAACCAAGCTATTTCCCAGCAAAGACATTTAACTTTTGGTGCAATTTTCGATGTATTTTTTTTTCGTGTGGGGGGGGGGGGACGTGTAACACATGGCGTATGCGTGTTACGGTTGTAGGCGCCAACTTTCGGACGAAAACTTTGCTCTTATCAGCTGGCGATAAAAATATAAAAGAAAAACGAAAAGCCTCTGTCAAATATATATTGTGTGTAATGGGTATATGGGTGTTTTGGAACTTTTATAGACACATCTGGTGGCTGGGCTATGCTCGTATAAATTTCAAGTTTGTTGTTGCTCGAAAGTTAAACGTTTACTTTTTTCCTAGCTGTTGCATTCGTGTGTATCCATGTATGTTTTATGGCCTTAACCAGGGGGGAAATGTAGCAGCAGTTGCCCATTGATAAGTTAACCAGTAATGGTTTCCAAATTGATGTTCATGCTAGGGCTAGTATGTGTGATGTCCTTGGCCAGGCATAAGCATTTAAAACTACATCTAAAATGCCATTAAGATGGCTGACAATGTTCGTAGGCAGAGAGAGAGAGAGAGTTATGGCTGCTTTAAGGATTTACTTTGTTTAAAGCCGAAAGTTTGTCGGTTAATTATTCATCTAGAGACAAAACTCCGTCACGCCCATTACTCATTACTCACTTAGACGCGGACAATACGAGTACAAGTATCATTCGATTCGGCCTTTAATCACCTGTGTCATTCGATAGCCCACGCACCTGTGTATGTAACACCTAAAGTGATTAGGCAATTTATAGCCGAAGCCGTTGAATCATTTTGCACCTCACGGCTGCCATTTGGCATTAGGACCGACCTGTGCGTGTCGTGAACTTTGCTTTGCAGCCAAAAACTATTTTTGACCAAGGTTAAGGTTTCGTGACCTTATCGTGAGGTCTAGATGATAGTACGATTACCTACAAAGAGGGGAAGTTAAGCTTCTGTTAGATTACAAATTCGAGTCTTAATATTTTTATTAATCTCGTACTTCCTCTTGAGGGACTGGACTCTATCGTATACCCTTTTCACGTCTGATAATTTCTAGATCTTCTGCAGATGTCCAAATAATTCGTGTTACTATTCCTACTTTCAGCTAAAACTATTCCCTGGCCAATTTTAAGGTTCTGTGAACAATGTTTGGCTGTCTAACTAGTGAATGGTATACGGCGTGGGTTCCATTCAGGTTTACAACTAAGGCTCGCATTTTTTTGGCAACAGTCAGACGATTTTCGTGTGGCTTGTGTGCGCTGACCTTTTTTTACCTTCTCTTAGACTATTTTCTAGACAAGGTTAATGTTCTGTGACCTTATCTGGAAGACTTGGTGGGTGGCTAGCTAATGTTATTCCTATCTTCCGAGTATTTCCCCTGAATCCTCGTCGAGTAGGGCATATTGATCCCTGGTTAGTCGCGTGGCTTCCCTCCTTTTTTATTTTTAGCATTTCCATTCACAGTTTCGTGTTGCATACATCCAGGCTCTGTGTCCCTGGCTGTCCTGCTCTCATTCGCCCACTTAGAGGACAACAGCAGCCACTTTTGTGTGGGCTTTCTCTGTATCTGTGCGTGCGTATGTGTGTGTGTGAATGAAACTAGAGCGCACCTTGATGCTATTTTTAAACGCCACACAAAACAACAATTGTCGCTTAGTTTTGTGTTAAGTGTTTTTAACCATCCATGCCGCCCACTATGCCTGCCTCTTGAGGATGAGGCAAGTTCATTTCGTTTTATTTCATGGTTTCCCCTCCCCCCTGGGTTTCTCTGTCCCACAACTGCAGTTGGAGGTGCAAGTGCAGAACCTGTTAGCGGACAGCACTTAAAAATAGTTAAGGCCCAAGAGCGTCAAGTATTATATAAATAGATGACAGCTAAATACCTGCCTTCTCCTTCCTCCTTCCTCCTGTGACTACAGACACACTGACTCTCACAAGTCTGCGGGCACACATTTGTGTGGAATTTCTAATTGCTTTCCCTTGTCGAATGGCAACATCAGTGCTGGCATAAGTTGGCTTTTAAAATCGGCATGTAGATCTAAATGGAATTGACATTTGGCTTATTGGCAAACTGCATGGCAAATGCATATCTGGTCAGGACTTACTGTAAAGTTTATTTGTTGCACATATCTTTGGTTTGGTTTGTTTTGCTGGTTCTAAATGCTTATGTCGGATTAAATGGACTGGAAATTGCAACCGAATGTAAACGGGAGAATGTGAATACAGAAATGTGAATAAAAAACTGCGGATTATCTGAATTATTTATGACCTTAAATGGAATCGGCCAGAGTGCTGACTACTCTTGGAGACCCTCCGCTTGAGCTTTATTTCAAAGGGTGTTGTAAATATATTGTGATGCTGCTTAAGGACTCAAAAATCATTGTTCGAAGCTTGTGAGCTATTTTTCCCACGTTCCAAATATGTCAATTAAAGAAATGCAGCTCCCAAATACATATATATTATAATGTATTTATACGAGCTGTCAAGGTTCACCACCCCCGGCCCCCTCGCTATGGTTAAAAATATCAGACGATGACCCAAAACTGTTTTATATAATAGAAGGAAATAAATCCCAAATGTGAGATAACAATTTAATGTTAAATTAAATGAAATTCATTAAATTACAATAGATTTAAAATATATATATGAATTTTGTATAAATATAACGTATTCGGTGATAGATCAGTTTAAACTGAAATAATCTTTACCAGAGGCACTGAAAACACTCTTTGAAACTCTCAAAAACATATTGAACATATACATATAGGGCTGACTGTGCTCAGTAGCAGTTCGATCTCTTCACGTTCCCCATGTAAGAGTATCCTTTCGGGTGAGCGAATGTTTGTTTGGCCCTGTTTGCGTGTGTTTATGTCTGTTTGAGTGTGCGCGAATGTTTGTGCAACAATCCGTTTGTGCGTGTGTTTGTGTGTGCGGCTTTGGCGCCTACCCAAATAAATCGCATGCGATTAAAATTGTATACAAATCGCGTTTGGAGGCATGCGTTTTGCCTCTCTTTTTTAGTTCTTAGCGTCAGGCAGGATGCCCCCTCCCCCCCCCTGGCTTCAGTTAAATGAGTTGTTGTTTATAGTTCTTAAGAATGTGTGGGATGTGGGTGTGCATGGGTACGGCGGACGGCGGATGGCGGATGGCGGATGTGTGGGTGTGCACACATTTGCATTTGTAGCGTAACGGTGGTATGTATTGTTTACTGTTTACTTTGTAGGTTAGTTCTGCTCCAGCTTTAAGTTTACCGTTAGCTATGTGCTTCGTCGGCTCATTCTTTGTTTCGCCATCCACTCCACTCCTTGTGTATTTACCTTTGATGCCTTTGACGCGGAGCTGGTGACGGCAGCGAAGAAGACGAAAGTGGGCGAAAGCCGGACCTGGGAGACGAGACACGGCGGAGACGAGAGGCCAGGGGACCCGGGAACCCAGAGGGTTGGGTGGTTGGAGGTGGCAGGCGGCAGGCGGCAGGTGGCGGCGGGGGGCTGATTTTTGGGTGGAATTAACCTCAAAGCATGCCAGCAAACAGCTCTCCTCGAAGCACTTGACTCTCGGGTTTCGTTTCCCTTTTATTCTCGTGTATATTTTGCTCTTGCTTTTGCGTGTTTCGTTTTAATTTGTTAATGATTTCGGCATATTAATTTATTTGCATAGTTTCTTCGGGCCACACTTCAGTTGTATGCCACATTTTTGGCCAGCCGTCGGAACGAATTCTCCAAACAAATTATTGCTTTAGTATTTCTGTTGCTGTTGTTGCTGTTCCGCTCTGCTTTTCCGCAGCAAGAAAGCCAAGCAGCCTGCACAAGACAAGGAGCAAAAAACACGAAAAAAAAAAATTGAAACAGAAGAAGAAAAACTGTATCTTTTAGATCCGGGCATATCCTTTATCTCGGACACAGCAGCACCCGCAGCAGCAGCAGCGGCAGCAGCAGCGCTGTTGACGCAGCGACGCTCGCAGCGGCAGCAGTAGCAGCAGAGCAGCTGTAGCTGTAGCTGGAAAATTTCCTTTGCTTTTCCTTGGCTTCCTCCTCGGTTTTATTTTTGGTGCTTTCTCGCTAATTCGTTTCAACAATTTCTGCTGTGATTAACAACAGGAGGACGAGGACCCAGCAACAACAGAAGATAGAAGTTTTACCACAAATCCCCCAAACTGGAGAGGAGCAAGAACCGCGCACCGTTCTTCCAAGTCCGTTTGACGTTAGCAGGAGCAGGAGCAGGAGCCACTGCACTTCGCATTCGACAAGAAACCGTTCGACGCGCGCACCCGAGTGTCCTATACACAACTGATTACAGTTGGAGTCGAGTCCTCGGCGGCTGCCAGGACTGCGAAAATGTTTAGCAGCAGGAGCAGCGGCATTCGCTTCGTTTCGCTTCCACGCTTCGTGTCGTGTCATGTCCTGTCGTGTCGTGTCGTGCCGTCTGTGCCGCATCCCGTTCTCGTTCCCGTTTTCGCTCTCGTTGTTGTTGCTCTGGCAGCCAGGTTTCTGTTGCCGAAATTTGACTAAGCACAGCTTTGTCCAAGACGGGCGACAGCTTCACAGTTGCTCTGCTCTCCTCACTCTCTCTGCACTCTCTCCCCATATCCTGCTCTGCGGAACCTGACATGCGCTCTCCTGCAACAGCAAGCTTAACACTAACAGGATAACAGGCCCCGGCTAACAGCAGCTCTGCGAAAAGAGAGCGGCAGCAGCAGCAGCAGGACAGCAGCTGGAGCAATGAGTGGGTGCGCATTCACTTGGGTGTTGGATGGCTCCATTGTCTTGAGTCTGGGGCATACAGTGGGACTGCTGTACTATAAAATGGTAAAGCGTTGGAGTATTTAATCGTAATTAGCATAAGACAGAAATAAAGTTGTACATATGTAGGTCTTTATACATATTTGCAATACCCCGCAACCTTTTTTAAAAATTCAAATACAGTTATTTGGCGACCACGCCACTTTGAAAATTTGTACTCGGCATCTGCAGTAGATATCCAAAATGGAATATATAACTTGGAAGGAGATCGTATGACCTTCCAAAATATTTCTGATTCGTGTCGAAGATATAGCCACCCAAAAGTTGAATTTTTCTGCCTTGAGTAATCCATTAAAATTGTCCCAAGAATGTAAAAAGTACGAAATATTTAGTAAATTCTCCACATATTATAATACAATAAGAAATGTTTCGACATTTTGGAATAAATTAAAAATATTAATAATCGCATACTCTTTAAACAAAGTCCACCCTTGTCCACTGTGCAGATTCATCTTACTCAGCCCGAAATTGGCAGGCAGAAATATTGCCACACTTCGCACGCACCCATCCCAATCCCTGAGCAGCATAGTCAAGCAGTCAAGCAGTCTGGCAGCCCCAACACGGATTCCCCCCGTCACTGGGCGGCTGTGTAGCTGGCCTACTGATGCTGTTGGTGCTGCTGCCATGGCCGTTGTCGTTGTCGGCGCCGCCTGAGAAATGACACCCATGTGTTTAGGACGAACATGATGTGGCACCCCTCCTGCCGCCTGCATCCTGAATCCCCAGAACGCTTGGCTACGCCTCTGCTGGCGTGTCTCGTCTCGCATTCACATGTGCCACTGTGTTGGACACTTGCACAGTTCTCTCCACCAACGACCAACGAATGGACGTGGACGTGGAAGGTTTTACAGCCCCAATGACAAGTGCTTAGTGCCCTGTCGGTGCTGCTGCCTCTGTGCGAGTATGCATGTGTTTCGCTCCTTGTTGTTTCTTATGCTCATTTTTCAAGCTCTTCAAGCAAATGGCGAAACGGGGAAACTCAGTCAGCGGTGGGTCAGCGGGGGGAAGTGGGCAAAGTACTCGGCGCACGCTTGCGCGGCTTTCAAATTTACCGTATTAACTCATTAAATGTTCAAAAGCTCATTGCCTGCGAAATGTGCACACATTTCGCGAAGTAAGTGTAACACTGTCGGTGTGCAAGTGCTGTGCGTGGGCGTGGGCGTCTGTGGGCCTCTGTGGCTGAGAGGGTGCGAAATATGCATATGTGCCGCCCGCTGATTTTGCCACTGCAAAGACATTTTTAATACCACCTAATAGCCGACGGGAGGTGTGCTGGCTTGGGGTCTGGATGTGGATGTGATGTGATGAGCCATAAATAAACACACTTCTAATTCATTTACACGAGAATTTTAAATGCAGCAAGGTATCGTCGAGTGTTTCGACTAAAAGATACTACTAAAGATTTAATCAGATGTAATGTTGGGATTAAAGGTGGATATCCCAAGGGTATATATGTTGCGACGGGGTAGCAAACTGTTGAGACCTTAACGGTGGCCTCACGCTACACTCATTATATCCTACTTTTTTTTATATGCACCACTTTATGCAAGTTAAATTAATTTCTGTAATTATTTTAGTGCCATAAATGGCTTATGTACACACTTTCAACACCATCCTCCGTCCCACGTGTACAAAGAGAAAGAAGAGAGCTCGCTTGACCGCTGCCACTTGCGGATATTACGCATTCGCCGCGTTGCATGCATCTTGAATATTTCATATCTGAAATGTGGCGACCGGCAGAAATGACAGCTGCGTGTGGAGGGTAATTAAGGCGCCATTATAATGACCCGACCCTGGCAACGAAACGAGAACACTTGCGGTCTACATTTTCCCACAGGCCCCCATTTGGTGGCTATTGCAATTTGTTGCATGTGGCGGCAGCAGACATTTAGGCGCCACTGAACAGTGACGTATGCGCCACAGTCAAGGCCAGTATGTACATCGTGGGGTTTATATCAAAGCTCTTCCATCATTCAAACTTCTGTATTACTGACTCTTACGGGTCGTAGAATATTATAACAATTCTCTGCATACTCGTAAACTCCATAACTGCATAATTCAGTGCTATCTATCTGATATCTGTCATGGGCTTATTTTAGGGCTAGCTTTTCTTTACAAATGTCTATAATCTTGTAAGTATTTCCAGTTTTACTGGAACTTTGAGGTGTATTATTTTCTCTTTTTTGAATTTCGGTTCCTTTTGAACATTTAAGGCACCAACTGCCCCAGAAATTAGATTCATTGTTGTTAAGAAAAGGTCCTGTACACTTTCCTATGGCACATATCTCAGCTTTGAAGTCGATTAAACACGAGGGCGGCCTACTATTCTTAACCCTTGGGACATTATAGCACACTTGTGACAAAATTAACGTTTATAGGAAACACGTTTATTCAATTTAAAATTTGATACACACATGATCGATCTTCGAAGACACTCTTTTAAATAAATACAATATAAAATACAATAAATAACTAGTACAAAATTTGTGGTTGTTTTATGCAGCATGCTGGTTGAGACTGAATGACACAAAATGCTTTGAGGGAGGGCTAGGCAAACGGTCCGTATCCGTCTGAGTAAAAGTTATGAGATGTGAAGCTGTCGACAGCCGGTGGTCTAATCGGCATCGATTAGGGCTGGCACTGCTGCAAGACCGTTGGGCTCAGCGGCTGGCGGGCCATCGCCGTCGCCCCCGGTTTTCTGAGACTCTGCCACTTTCGGAATCGGAGCGGTCTGCTCCTGAGCATCCTTGGTGGTTTTCACGTTGCTGGCATCTCCTGCAGCTTCCTGCAGTTTGATGACTGTCTCAACATCCTCCAACAGCAATTCCTCGACGCCTTCTTCTATCTTTTCTTCAGGTGTCTCCCCGTTGGCAGTCGTTTCGGCAGCAACCCCATCAACTTCTGGGAGCTCTTCGGCTGCGGCTGCTGCTGCAGCTGCTGCCGCTGCCTTGGCTTTGGACTTTTTCTCCTTCTTCTTGATGTTCTTCTTGGCATTGGCCTGCTTTTGCTGATCCTCGGCCGCCTTGTTCTTTTCCTCAATGGCTGTCTTAGCCTCAGCTGTGGTCAGCAGCTTCATTTGGTTCTGCAAGTTAGCCAAGGTCTCCTTTAGCTCGGCGCAGTTTCGGCTCATCAGCTCCATCTTGGCCTTGTCGGTGTTGACTGGCGTCATCTTAACTGGCTCCGGCTCTGGGGGCAGCTGTGGCAGAGGAGGAATCTCAATGTTGTTCTCCCTGAGGCTCTTGTGCAGAGTCGTTCGCTCCAATTGTAGGGCCCGCAGTAGCTTCTGCAACTGCGTGACTTGCTTCACCAGGCGGTCCGACTGCTGTTCCCGCAACTGTTTCTCGGTGGCCAATTCGATGACCATGGCATTGGCCTTCTCGTACCTCTGGCGCCAGCCCAGAGACTCCTTTTCAACCTTTTTTGTGTGCTTGGACATTTTCTCCAGCTCGATTTTGTAGCTGCCGAATACCTCGTTCGACTTTGTCAGCGACTGCTGGAAGTCATCGTATTTGGTCATGTAGATGTTCAGCTGCTCTTTCAACTGGTGTTCACGATCGGTCAGATCCTTGATGCTGCGCTGAGCCTGCAGAAGCTTTTCCAGACCGATTTGGTTTTCTCTGTAAGGAAGGAGAACGACCATTTAGTGGTTAGTTAAGCGATGGTTAGTTGGCGATGAGGGCACAAACTTTTTGAGGATCTCCTTCTCCATGGCCGCCTCGACCTGGGCCTTGCTGAGCCTGGCCTGATTCAGCTGCGACTCCAGCAGCACCTGCTCGTTGAGCTTCTCCAAATGCTGCTCGCGCGTCTGGTACTGCTCAGCCAGCAGCTTTAACCTAAAATCAGAGAACAGATGGTCAGTGTGTGCGTGCTCATGCCGCAGACGGCATGCAGTGTCTATATTTAGACGTTTAAACGGCGCGCACACCGCTGAGGCAGCGCCGGCTGCTGCTGTTGCTGCTGAAGGCTGCCACTCACTTTTTGGTCATTTCGATGTTGTAATCGCGCAACTTGATGTTCTCGTCGTTGTTTTTGGACAGCGCCTTCTGGACGTCGTTGATTGAGCTCTGGAACTTGATCTGGGTCTCCTTGCGACGCTCCTCCTCTACCTTGATCTGCAGCATGCTCTCGTTCTTCACAGACTTGATAATGCGCTGCTGTTCGCGGCACACCTCCTGCAACTTGTCGCGCATCAGGATGCACTTGTTGAGCTCGCGCTGCATCGCCTCTTTCTCGCGCTGCTGCCCCTCCGTGTGGCGCTGCACCACCCGGAGTTCGGCCGACAGCTGGCACACGTTCTTATCGCTCTCCACCTGCCGCTGCACCAGCACCTTCACTTTGTCTTCGTTCGTCGGGCACTCGGCGAGGGACTTCAGCAACTGCGGGGTATCAGGGTGTCAACCAATTTAGGGATATATCAATATGCATTTCGGTTGCCATTGCAACGCCGGGCGCAGTCGCGCTCCGGAAGGAATGTTCTTACCAGCTCCTCCAGCTTCTGTTCGCGCTGTTTCTCCTCCCGCGCCGCCTTTTTAGCCTTGCCCACTTTCTCCATTTTTATAAAAGTTGATGCTATATATAACTTTAATTTCGTTCTAAGGAACGAAAAATTCAAGAATTTTGACTATATTTGTTGTGCTTTATCTCAGTGTGACCGCGGATTTATCGTTAAAATATACCGTCCGACCCTCAGAAATATACTGAAATATACCGGCTCATTTCCAAAATATACCGTAAATATATTGATGAAAATACGAACTTAGCACACTTAAGCCCCCTTTATTTAAACTGGATAACTAGATCTAAGTTAAACAGCCGAACATAATAATACATAAATAATGCATAAAAAAAGAAAACGATATATTTCACCTACAAAAGTTCTTCAAGATTCACAATTTTCGTGGAGAGTATATTAATACCATCTGGTCGACAGCACATGTTGCGCTGAAGCTGCTAACAGAGTGCAAATATGCGCCTAACAGCACATTAATGACTTTGCGTTTAACAGCACACCACCCCCTACAATATGTTAGTGCTGGAAATTTCCGCTGGGGGGTCGCCAAAGCAGTCCTGCTGTTACAGTTATTCCGCGATCTTCCTTCACTCTTTTATTTTTATTTTCGAAATAAAAAAGTATGTATTGCCGCATTCAGATCCGTTTTTCCCACAAACAAACACAAACAAAATTTCACGCACAAATGTGTATTAAATATTCCTAGTTTAAAAATATCGCGCGATTGCCGCTTTGCAACCTATCCTCTCCTCTTTTCAGATTTCTGCCTATCTCTGTATTCTCTGCTTTGCCCTTTTATTACGCATTTGCATTATAATACGCAGCAAGCATGTCTTCGGTGGAAAATGAAACTATGGACTATTTAAAGAAGACGGGAGTTCTTCCTCGGCTCGTGAATATTTTGAAGCAAGTAATAAAGATCAAACCGCAGCCAGTGGATCCTCTTATGTACATTCTTCATCAGCTGAATTGCCCTTTAATTCCCCAGGTATAATTTTGTTGCATTGTTATTGGAAAATTGTAAAAGCGGGGTATTTGCTAATCAATTTTGTTGCAGGCCCAAATGAAGGCGCTGGAGCGTAAAGTGACGCGTGCCCACGACGAATTGCGCTATTTGCGAGACCTTCTGATCAATGTGGGGGCGAACGACGATCTCTATGACAGCGAGACCGACGAAGAGGAGTATGTCGGAAGCGTCGAGGGTCAGATTTGTGACCCAAAAGACTTGGAAGATTACGGTTATGTCTGTGAGGAAGACACTGGCGATGAAACTCCAGATGAGAACGAGACCGAAGCAAGTCCGTTCGAGAAGACGCAAACGCTGAAGCATTACATTGTTCAGGCCGCTGTGGCGATGACTCCTGTCGATCAGGATGCACCGGCTGGATCGTACGAGCAGCCCTGCTCGAGCAGTGCCATCTGCAACGAGTCAAAGTAGTTGTTCAAACTAATACTTATGTACACGTACATATATACTCGCATGTTTCAATGCATGTGGTTTGTTCCATTTTGAATTTTTTCCAACGTGTTTAATGAATGCAGCTTGTGACCTTTTTATGAATTATCAATAAACTCAACGCATGGGCGTTGCAACTATAGCAGTAGAGAGGTTACCACCCGTTTTGCCATGTAAGCACTGATTGAAACATGACTTCGGCCTGGTTCTGGTCGGGTCTGTTCATAGGTGATTTCCATTGAGCACACCTCAACATGTGGGAAATCAATAACAATATGGGAATATAATATGCATGCATGTAGCTGGGTCGATATATATGTATGTATACTCGTACTCGTACTATATCTATAGCCGAACAAAACAACAATTCAATTAACTCAAACATGCTAGATGTAAAACTGGATGAATGCTTCAATTGCAGTATTGCCTGGAGGAGAGGTTGTTCTCCGTCCGCTCCCACTACTACAGATACTCCTATTATTCCTCGGAGTGGGTCAGGGACCAAGCTAATTCATCATTATCGAGCTGTGGATAAGCTGCAGCTACATACATATGTATGTAATTAAGTCCTGCCCCCGGGCAAATGATGTGCATTAATTTTTGCATTTGACAGCTGAGCTGTATGTCTGTGTGTGCGCGCAATGAAATACGTATTTACAATATTGAAAGAACCCAATAATTCACTTAAAACCCAACGAATCGAAATCATTTGATGCGAAAGGCGTTTTAATTAGTTTCTGTGTGACCGGTAGCCAGGCGGAATTAGAAAAGTTAACTGAAATGAAAATTCTGTGAGGCATCAAGCTTTCAGTTGCTCGTTTACCTCAATTACGCCCTGCATTTGAGATTTAAATATTGGTTAATCAATAGATTATGTGACCGTTCGTTGGGAAAGATCATATTTTTGATACATGTGAATATTTGAGTGTTACAAATTCAAAAAGCGCAATTCAACAGGGAAAGTACATATAGATATCCAATTAATTATAGTCGTATTTCCACTACACTCAACTAATACATGGAGACCAGATATTAAAGCCTTATGGAGGGATAAGATTTGTGGTAAAACCACCCACACTAACACAAATATCTCGTCGTGTCTATTTTTCATAAAGTCTAGTGGTATTCAATGATTCCACAATCACTAGTTGGATCAACGGCGTCTTAAAAATGCACGGCGCAAAAGCCAAAAGTCTTAAAGAAACTCAGAATATAAATAAAATATTAATTTGATATTTATTTGATTGTTGCCTTGTTAAGGGACTTAAAACCCATAGAGCCGTACAGTGGTAATTACAATAGGTAAAATTTACTTTGTTGAAAACAAGTGACTTGCAAAGATATTTATGTTTCCGTTTTAGTAATGTTTCTATAAATTTCGGGTAGCATGATGCTCGTACTAAAGAGATAAAACTCAATTTATGTTTCGTTTGGAGTAACTTCCTCGTTATAAGCCAATAACCCCTACTGACATGGTCTATTCATAACTTCTAGTACGTAGGTAGCTTGAAAGTTACTATATTGCACGCCACACTGTACGTTTTGAGAACTGATCGAGAGTAACTATGATGAGCTCACTAGGAATCGGCAGGAATCAACTATAGACGCCTATAGCAACGAATAAGTATCACGGATGCACCGTCTCCCTGGCCTGGTATAACGACAGCCTACTCATCGTTGATGCCTCTCCGTGCGGTACGTCTAAAAATAAAATCAATTTTATTCCAAATATCCCACTTTTTACAAAATATTAGATACTACATACATATTTTATTGGTTTCCACATCCGTTATATTTTACACTTAATAGCAGGGGGCTTAATACCAGGGGGAAATGTTGCCAGCCCAATGATTTACACCAAATATTTGTCACAGTGCTATAAATCCCTCTAATCCTGCTGCAGGACCCTCGACATCTGCATGTCCGGTTTGACAAATAAACTGCAGCACAGCTTACATAAATATTGCCCCAAAAAATAAAACATATTTTGCCACATACTCGTAAAATAAACAAGACGACCAAGGGGTTGTGCGGACAGCAGCTGCTTTTAATTGCTTTCGTTGGTTTTTTGAACATTTTTGCAACTTTTTAGTTGACATTGAATAATCGCTGCGGAAATTGTCGTTCAACTGCAAATTGTGGTAACGGCGGAGTAGACTCCAGTCCGCCTGATAATTGATTGAAGCTCTTTAAATTCTGTATTTTGTGTGTTTCTATGGTGCCTTTTTTTGGTTGGTGCTTGGGCTGGTTTCAGGCTATCCCACCGATGCGCAGGCCGGCTTTCTGGCCGTTTAATCTGTGCACGCGTGCCGACTGCAAAGTGGCCAACGGCTACGGCCCAGTCCCGGCAAAGTATGTCCTGGAATGGCCCGGAATGGCTACCGCAAATCTGCTTTGCATGTCAGTGCGGCGCAACGTAAAACTTTGACCACGTAAAATACGAGACCCTCGGGCAGCAGCCACAGAATCCACCAACTGAGAAAATAAACTAGTGTGGCAATGAAATGGAGTGCAGCTCCATTGGGAAGCGGCCTGCAATGGACTGCAGGGGATCAATGGTGGACTCCGACGGATTGCATCGAAATGGAAATGGGCTATAGACAGGGTAGAGAATGCCCAAGGAATGGTGGTAAAAAAAACAAAACGCACCAAGAATTTAACTGAAAATATTACATATTTGTTTTTGGTAGAATCTTTGATTTTTTATTAAAAACTTAAATTTTATTGTTATTTGTTGTTGTTGTTTGTATCTTTCAGTGTTCTCAGCTAAAAAATCAATCCTATTTTCAAACAGCAATCTTTCTTTTTGTGCAGAAGGATGAAAATGTTCAAAAATATATTATTTAAATAGCATTAATACACCGCAAGTAAACTAAAACTAATACTTATCCAATTTTTCAAATATTATTAGTATGTTTCCAGAGATATTTCAGTCGCGAATGCACTTGGAATCTGATTGAATAGAGCTCCTGCCATTGCGCCATGGCCCACTCTTCGCATACTCCAACCCCCTGGAGAGCGGATATGGCCAGTAAAGTACAAGTACAACAAAAATGAAGGAATTTTCACAGCCAAAAATAGCCAGCATGGGGCGGCCAGTGGGGAAATGGGAAAAAGGGTAGCACGGCTTCAATTTCATGTCGAGTAAATTTTAATTTACTGCTCTTTTGTGACCGCATGCGAGCCAACAAGACTTTGGGATCTTTTTTCAGTTTTTTTTTGGGCTATGGACTTCTGTGTGTGTTTGTTTGTTGGTTTGACTTGTTGGTCAAATGATATATCCGGTCGGTCGGTTGGTCAGTCCATTCGGCCCGAGGGCGAGTGTGGGATTTTTAAAGCCAGCGAAGCACCGAGCTCCCATTAGTTTTAATGACCGCAAAAGGCCACACAAAAAAACCCAGGAAAAATGTTTGAAAAACAAAACAGAAAGCGAAATAAAAATTCCGCCATTGCTGGCAGGCTAATTGAAGTCTGTCTGAGTGGCACCAGCAGCAGCAGCAGCAGGAGCAGGCGGTTGGCATGGGGGCGTGGCAAATCTCAAAACTATGCTTCATTAGCCAAGCTGCAAACTCTATTTGCCTAATGGGGCAACACCCAACAGGCGCCATAAAAAGACCCAGAAAGCGGCAGCCAAATGAAGAAATTTGTGCCATAAAACGTGCCAGGCTTAAAGAATGAGCCCCATTCCGAACAGAAAGAATATATATCTATACGAGTATTTTAGCTGCAATTGAAAATTCCAAACACAACAATTAAAAAGCAATTAACTATGCAAATTTCGTGGCTGTTAATGAGCCGGAAAGGAGCCGCGAGTGGGCGCATATATTCCCATTTTTTGTGGGTTTGCGGCAGCATCTGACCCGAATACATCAATGTCTGGTGAATGTTCGGGTCAAATGCTCCACGCGCGCACGCAGTCCCAGAAATACACTTTATCATTTCTTGTCATTTTTCATGAGGAAAAAAAGGGTTAAGCAATTTTTATGTGTCAACAAGAATAATTCCTGTCACTAACACGTATACGAAGCGACTTGGCTTAAATGACAAAAGTTCTACCCGGCAAAACGGAGCAGCGGAGAAAGGTGGAGAGGCAAACAAAAGGCAGTCGCCGTATTAATAATGAAACAAGAAAGGGACATGAAAACCCCGCGGCTGATACCCTTGCAGATCCATTTACTTTTAGATGAAGGATTTCTTACAACAGTTTAAACTTTAAATATGTTATGTTAAAAATATGATATGTTACAAAAAAAATTTCTTAGGGGAATATGTGCACATATGTAAATATATTGCTAGAAAGGTTTTCTTTAATTTGTTTCAAGCGTCTTGCCAAAAAATAATACTTTCTGCAAGGGTATAAACAGGACAACATCGCAGAACAAACAGGGACAAACAAGACAACAAAGTGCCACAAAGCACGTCCTCCGCGCCCCGACACGGTGTCAACAAAAAGTGTTGCAAAAGAATCAACAAGCAGCTCAGAAATTAATACGTCCTACCAGCGCACATAGGTGTGAAGTTCCACCACGACTGGGCCCACTCCCTGTCCCATCTGCGTGCAACTATTTGCTACGTGTCATAATCTTTTGCCAGAAAGTGTTGAGAGATGTATTGCACGAGTATGTATGCGAGCTCATCGGAGTAAGAGGGGATCCAAGGGGATCGCATGGTAGGCACGAATTTGCTCCAGTTTGCTTGGGGCCGTCGCACAGTGGGTGAAATTACCAATTTAGCAGGAAAAATCTGTTTGCCCCTAAAGTATTCAATATATTACGCAAAACAATTAATTATTTTTTAACAAAAATTTTAATCTTAAAATTAAAATTAACCTAGTCAAGATATAGGCAAAAATATGAAGGGTAAAAATTGTTACTGTGCAATATTCTTCGAATTTCTTGCCATTTATGTTCTCTACATTCACTTTAAATAACGAAGGCTATCAAAATATGTGTCTCTAATGGGAACAAACTTTGGGAACATGGGAACTCCATAAACGAAGCTAACAGAATATAAGTGTCAAGGAAGTTCAAGGAATGAGCCGTCATATACATATATATTTTTTCTCAACGAAATTTGAGTAAACGACATTAAGAGCAGGACAAGTTTATTACACATTTATTAAGTTTAATTTTTTAATACCTTGCA